AAAATCCGGAAGTTCGGCGTTGACAGCCGAAGATCAATCAGTCAACAGAGGTAAGCAAAAATCGAGCATCACCGATTTACGAAACCCCTCTATCTTTTCGAAAACGGCTGTATGCACACCAGCAAAAATGAATATTCAGCACAGCTGATGCCAAAAATGAGTGTTTCAGGTGCAAAATAAATAGTGTTGAAAATGTAGCTGAAAACAACAATTTCGGTGATGAAGGTTTTTTTGCCATTCGTCTGACATTTTCCGAACCAATGGTGAAAATAACTTGATCACTGTAATCATTGTTTTCAGCTACGCTTTCAACCCCATTTATTTTCACGTAAAATAATCATTTTTGGCAGCATGTTCAGCTGAGATGAATATTTATTTTGGTCAGAGGAGGAGGGGTGTATCACTGCAGAGGTCCCAATCAGGTACTGTACCAATGTACATGGCACCCTATGTACGCTACAGACGTCAACGGCCAAGTCGCTGTGGTAGTCTAGATACTGTGAAGTACGTGTGATGTCCAGTTTGAGGCTCCAACCATTTAGTTTCCGCTTGAACTCCTGGGCAAATCAAACAGAAATGGTTCCCAAACCATATGAAACTGTTTAAAACTGTTCTAAATGGTATTGTGGCCAGCAATTTTCATACCACTCGTCACCAATCTCTGGGAGTGGTAATGGTGGTGTCAACCATCAGAAGGATACCTAGAGTTTGATTGAAGAATAACAGGAGCCCAATGGATGGTGTTGAGACAAATAGGGGCAGTCAGAGTCGCTGAATTTCGGCGATTCTGAGGCGATTCTGACAGGCGATTCTGACGGCGATTCTGATTTATTTTAGCGTGGGAGAATCACCGAAAATCAGAATCGCCCGAGAATCGCCTCGGTTCAGAGGAGATTCTACATCGATTCTCAGGTGATTCTGATTCTGATTCTGCTTGCAATAATTATAATGTTGATTCTCGAAGTCCTTAACCCCAACAAATATTATTTTTGTGACATGGCTATTTGCAAGACAAATCCGATCCCGACCGAGCTTTCTTCCTTGCATCTTGGACGGTCTTGTCATAACAAAGAGGGTCAAGGAACCCCAAGATCTGTCTGCCGAGGACTCGCGAGGAGGCCTGTGAGGAAGCTGAGAAACCAGTCAAACAAAAACAGTGCTGTGCCCCAGGAACATTGTACCAGCACCAGGGGAAGTCTAGGCCATAGAAAAGTGCATTTTATTGATAATTGAAGAAATTTTTATACAATGAGAATCCACATGAGAATCGCTTGCAGGACCGGGGCGGTCAGAATTGAGGGCGATTCTGAGTGATTGTCCCACGATTCTGATGCAAAACAATTCCGAGAATCACATCAGAATCGCCTGTCAGAATCGCCTCAGAATCACCGAAATTCAGCGACTCTGACTGCCCCTAATGTAGGAAGTCGGTCTCACTCACGTGGATGCTGCCAAATGGAAACTCTGGTCTGGATTGTGTCTGACCCACAAGTCATTGTTAGTAGTCCATGGAGGAATGCTGAATTGATCTCATAGATGATACTCATATATTTTTCAGAGCTCTACACCCACCAGATAAGTGACAGGAGAAGATTGAGCTCCAATACCGTTTGAACCATTCTGTTACCTGTAAATCCGGTTCCCCCTCTTTTCTTTCCAGATACCCAGCGCGGTGGTGGCAGCTCTGCGTGTTGGGTTCGCTTCAAATTCGCTTTGGAGTCACTTGCATCTCGCTGGTGTGGAGTGCTCGGCTGCACCATATCCAGTCGGCAGGACACACTCAAATTGGTCCGTGCGCCAGCGGCAATGGTCGTCATCGCGGGCCGATCCTGCGTTCAGAAATCCATCGCCCCGCCGAGCTCATATGCGTTCACGGTCGATTCAAGCTCGAGCACCAAGGCTGCTCGCGCGCACACCATTGGTCTCGCTTTGTAGCCCACCGAACTTCGTGCCGCCCAGAGTCGTCCGTCTCATCTGCCGTGTACAAGTCTCGCGCGCTGCCGTATAGATCGTTGCAGGCGCAGGGTCAAGCTAGAGGTGCAGCCGCGCGCCGATATCGTGATCACCTATGGTTATGCAAAACCCGTCTCTGCTCGTCTCGGCGCCGATAGCGAGCTGCGCGCACTCTCCCTCGCGGTCGTACCTCGATCAGGACTTTCCCTCACCGCAAATCACCATCGTTCTGCCTATATCCCCTCGAGCCACGTCTCCGTGCTTCCTGCATTCGCGCGCGCGTCATGTCCTCTTCCCCTCGCCTCCCTCGCACCATGTCTCCCCTTGTCCTTATTCTGGCCGGGGTAGGGGAGGCACCGTCTCCGTCTCCGTCTCTGCTTGACAGACGCGGAGCGGGGTCACCCATATATACCGTCGCCATTGACAGAAAATAGATACCGTCTTTATCTTCTATGTTCTCGCAATCATGCACTCTCCGCGAAATTTTTTGCTCCATTACACTCAACGAAAAAGGGAATATATAATAGCTACGGCACGAAGAAAGAGTCCGCGATGGGAGCATAGATACAACACAACGCTACGGGCTAGTCGGACTTTTGCATGTGGGGGGACTGCACAAGACTGATCGACTTGGCGAGGGAGGGCGCTTAGTGCTTGGTCGCCTTGACGATGGAGACGACGATGATGATGATGATAACGGCGATGGCGGCGCCGATGATGATGCGCATCTGGGGCGGGGGTTAGTTAAGCAGGAAGCAGGAGGGTGGGGGAGGAGCGAGGGTGGTGTGGGGTAGGAGTGAGGGAAGGGAGGGAGCTAGGGAGAAGGGGAGAAGGGAGTGAGGAAGGGGGAGCGGGTTGTGAGAAGAGTGGGGAGGACGAAAAGGAGAAGATGAGGGAGGGGACGGGACGGGGAATGAGACGAAGACGGAATGTGTGGATAAAGGGAGGGGGGAGGGGGTAGGCGATAGGGTAGGCGGGAAGGTGGGTCAAGATGCAAGGGATGTGGAAAGGACACGAGAGGTTATGAGCGAGAGGAAGGGGAAGAAGTTATAGACGGCGTAGCGGTGGGGGAGATGGGATGGGGGGAGGGACATGAAGAAAGGAAGGACATGATGGACATGGTGGAACGACAAGACGAATAAGAAAAGCAAAGCACCTTCATGTCTTTCCACCTTCATTATGGGGCGCATCCATCAAAGAGTGTGACGGAGGTAGGGCAAGGTGCGGCCGTCGGATGTGGGCGGAGGTCGCATCAATTTGTGGCGCACCAATAAGCGAATTGAAGATGAGGGGGGAATCGTAGAGAAACAGAAGGGAGCAGAAATCCGTGAGACACGCACTCGTTCAGGACACGGGGGACGTACCACATGTTCTTTCGTACGCGGTTGGCGCCGCGGCGGAAGCCCTGTGCAGAGACTGCGAGGTTGTCTGGAAGATAATAGTGGTCAGCATTCGTCGTCAAGTCGACTCCCAGACTGCCCGCCCGCCTCAAGACGTGGAAGAGTGAATCGACTCACCCGTCTTATCTTGCAACGAATCCAGCCGCTCTCCTCTCTCTGCTACTTTAGTGATGTTCTCGCGCATAATTCCGACGGTGTCGTCGATCTGGGCCTGGATGGCGGCCGTCTTTGCGGTACCTTGGCTCCCGCCTGCTGCGGGGCCAGAGGGGGCCGCACCGTTGCGGGGCAGATAGGGGTCGTAGGGCTCGGACCTAAAGCTCTGTTAGCAAGCCCTCTTTTTGTACATCCTCAATGAGGCGAGAGGAAAGCCTACATTAGCTACGTGCGGGTCTACCAGTAACACCAGTCAATACACCTCCAATGACCAGGAGGAATAGTACACACCGTTTCAAACGAGGATTTGGTGTGGGGAGGGGGCGTGGAGCGAGGAGGGTGAGCGCAGGCAGTGACGTGCGATGCAAGCTGTCCGCCTTCCCACGCCGTGACAGTGTCACACTTCGTTTCCATTCATTGCACCTTTGTTGCACCTGATTACTGCGCCGCCTTTACGCGCCGGGCCTGCGCTGCGCGTCCATCGGCACCGGCGACACCGTCCTGGGGCACAGCTGGCCCCTTGGGCGTCGGTCGGTGTTTGGAGAGCATTTTCGGGCACTCACGGCAAGTGGAGGCACTGCAACGGACACGCATCCCCATCTCGACGACCGGCGTGGATATTTATGGCATCTCGAGGGCTAGGAATAGGAACTTCATTCCATCGCTTCATTTCCTGAATGTCCATGTCCTCTACATCCGCGAAGGCCAATCAAGCGTCTCGGATATTCCTGGCTTTCCTCGACGTCTCTTCAAATGAACTCAAGAACATCTACTTCTAGAGCTGTGCCATCTCACCGCAACCGCAATGCATTATTTATGCGTCTCTGCGACGCCATCTGGATATATTCACGTTCGTCTCGATCCGCTCAGACATTGGACTTTGAATGAGTCCGCCCGAAGCGCACGGCCCCTCCCGCCTGCGTGTTCGTGATTCCCTCCGGCAAATAGCCTACGCGTGATCTCCGTCCAAGAAGTCTCTTGCTCAGGGGAGCTCTATTGAGCCCTCTTTTTTTGGAAAGAAGGAAGCTCGCAGAAAAAGCGCCGGCGCTCACAGGAATATCTTCTCAGCCCCAAGCCGAATTGTCGGAGAGACGAGAAATTACTTACTACCGAGACCCAGGATAACGGCATTGAACTGGACTGAGACCGACTTCCAATGAGAGTCTGAGACCACCCAACTGAGACCCCGCAATAAGACGGAAGGGAAACAAGAATGCGGGGAAATAGCCCTGGGTACCTCCTATCCGTGTTTTTTTCCAACAAAACAGGACTCTTATTCGAGACCCACCGAGTTGAGACAGACCTGGTTACTGAGACGCAAACGAGAGGGTTTTCTCTGCACGAATCATTCACGCATTCAGAGAAAAATGAGCACAAAAACACCCCTTTTCGCTGTAGATAGTTCGTTGGACAGCGATGTATAGCAGTAGTCCAAAGTCGATATAAAAACTTGGAGAAGATATAAAGCACAAAAACACTTTTCTTCCCATACGATAGCCTGACCCCGAGTCGAACAGGGAACCTCCTCACATGGTTGACAGAAGAGAATAGTCAAAGAGGACATGTTACCACCACACCACCAGGCCTTGATGCTTTGCTTGCTTGCCCGTTAATTGATTACACACGGGAGAGGAGAGGGCCAGGGAAAGTCTCAGCACTTTCGGCATTTCTTCATAAATCAGACAATGAAAGACGAGAGGACACACCACCAGGCCAGATGAGGTGCGTAGTACAGTTCTGGAATGGAGTCGTCATTTGGAGCTAGACTCGGGTGGGATCATAGCTGAATCACCCTCTCTCCTTTGCGAGATGGTACATGTAATTAACATCTGCTGGCGCGTGCATCAGTAACTTCGCAATTTACTTGTGGGCTTGTGGCCCTTTTCGCTTGTGCTCAAAAAAAAAAAAGTCACCAAAATCATGTCTAGACACCAACGCGCACACTCAGTTTTTTTTTTTTTTGGCCGACTTGTGGGGTTTTGGACAAGCTTGTGGGCTTGTCGGCTTTTTCGGCTTGTACAAGCTTGTACAAGCACCGGCAAGTAAGTTGTTAAAAGGCCGATGCTGTCGGAAGGTTGAATAATATTCGTAAGTTTACTTGGGGAAACGCTCAAGGAAAGGTACAGCGAAACCAAAGAAGAAAAAGGCTCAACGCATTCATGATTACGGCCTGGCCCCGGGTCGAACAGGGAACTTCCTCACAACCATCCAAATCTACTGTAGGTATAGAGGATATGTTACCACTACACCACCAGGCCACGATGCCAGCAGTATTGAAGTCCTAGAAAGTAGTGGTGTACCACATCAGTAACTTCGCAATTTACTTGTGGGCTTGTGGCCCTTTTCGCTTGTGCTCAAAAAAAAAAAGTCACCAAAATCATGTCTAGACACCAACGCGCACACTCAGTTTTTTTTTTTTTTGGCCGACTTGTGGGGTTTTGGACATAGCTTGTGGGCTTGTGGGCTTGTGGGCTTTTTCGGCTTGTACAAGCTTGTACAAGCACCGGCAAGTAAGTTGTTAAAAGGCCGATGAAACACATGATGGAGCCGGAGATAATGCCGGGTTCCACGGCTTGCAATGTTGGATTTAGAGCCTAGGGACGTAGCGGAGCTCAGTGACCCTCTGCAAACGCGCAGGGGTCTCGGTATAATTGCTGCAGTACTTATACAAAAGGAGGTGTAACTACGAGTCATAAGAGAGCATAGCTAAGAGTCAGAGTGACAAATAGACATGAAGAAAACAGCGCGCGCGAGGAGTCCGTATGAGTATGTAGGTAGTCATTTGAGCGGGTGATTGCACAGCACGTCGGCGATGAACTGCGTCCGTGCGTTGGTGTCTCGGTTGTTATCCCAACACACCCCCACAAGCGATAGCACCAAAGCACACCCCCAGAAGCTGGACAGGGTGCTTACCAGACTCCATCGTAATCCGAGTCGGAATCGTACTCGGCAGCGGCGGCTGTCTCGGCGGACTTCTTCTTGGACTCTTCCCAACGCAGACGCTCGGGGCAGTCAGACTTGAAGTGGCCCTTCTTGTCGCAGAAGTAACAAGTCTGCGACGAAGCGGCAAGGCGGCGGGCGACGAACGCAAGATTGTTGGGATCGTGATCCTTGTCGGCAACAGGAGTGATGGCCGTATCATCCGAGTCGTTGGATTGCTGGCGTGTTTCTTCATTGAGCAACCGGCTGATGACATGCTCAACGGTGAGGTCGGTGGGAGAGGTCGCGTCAAAGTTGACGATGACAGCCTCGTATGTGGCAGGGAGGCCCATCGTGAACGCCAGAATCTTGTCCTGGGCAGTGACAGCGATCCCGGTGTATTCCATGCAAAGAACCATGGACTGGATGCGTCCAATCCACGCTTCCATCGTCTCGGAATCGAGCTTCTTGGCGGTGAGAAATTGCCGGCGAAGGGCAAGACTGGTTGCAAACCCGGCGGCGCGGTGCACGCGTTCGAGCGTCTGCCAAATGATCATGGGGTCGCGGGAGGTCATGTGAGAGAGCTGGCTCGGCTCGACACATAACACCAGTTCTGCACGCGCTTCTGCCATCTTCGTCGCGTCTCGCGCGGCAATCAACGCATTCCGTTCCGCCACTATCTCCGACTCCGACTTGGCCGTCCCGTCAGATTTGGTTTTGCTCACCGAAATCTGAACCACAGGCCACAGCTGCTTCCGTACAAGTACGGCCTCCATACGTAAATCCCAGTCGTTCGCATAGTTCTTGTTCCCGAGGCGGACGAAGGAAATGCGATTGTCGGACATGGTGAAAGTGAATCAGAAAGGAAATGTAAACAGGTGAATAAAATTCGTATCGGCTGCCTCGTTGTCGCGAGGACTTTCTCCTTCGTCGATGAAGGGTGTCGGTGCCTTGTTGTCGCAAGGGCTTTCTCCTTCGTCGTCGATGAAGGGTGTCCGGATGCCTCCGCACGTCGTGGAGGGCTTTAGATAAGAATCCGAACTGTACGTCGATGAAGTCCAGATAATGGCAGCGAGATCGAGGGTATGAGTGTATGCGCGTTTGTGTTGGATTTAGAGCCTAGGGACGTAGCGGAGCTCAGTGACCCTCTGCAAACGCGCAGGGGTCTCGGTATAATTGCTGCAGTACTTATACAAAAGGAGGTGTAACTACGAGTCATAAGAGAGCATAGCTAAGAGTCAGAGTGACAAATAGACATGAAGAAAACAGCGCGCGCGAGGAGTCCGTATGAGTATGTAGGTAGTCATTTGAGCGGGTGATTGCACAGCACGTCGGCGATGAACTGCGTCCGTGCGTTGGTGTCTCGGTTGTTATCCCAACATGCAAGGCAGCACTCGCCTGGCACATTCGTTGATGATAATATCTCGGGGGTCGGTGTCGAGTAATATAGGATGAAAGATGGAAGGAAGGGAAGTATGAACTTGTTGAACCAAACATCAAATCAAGCCGCAAGCTCCAACGGATCGATCGCGCATTTGACTCGGACCCACGGCGCCACGGAGCGCAGATTCTCTTTCTCACCTCTTCTACCGTGACCAGTTTAGGGCATACGCCCAGAGGCCCCCAGAGGCCTCAACGGAATCCTCGCCCCTCAGTCTTCTGAAAGTCACCAGTGGGCAGTTCAGCTGGCACCCACACCTCTCGATCCTGATCTAGTACAACCTCGCGCTCTTTTCGCCCCATTTTGCTACTCCATCGGCACTCTCTTATCGACCGTCTATTTGACTATAGCCTCCTAGGCTTTTCCTCCATTTTATTTTTGCAAAATCACTCTATTCTTGCTCTATTCATACCAGATCACCGACCCATTTCAAGAACCCGTACTCTGGCTCCGTGCCCCTTCTTCACCGCTTGCGCTGGCATCGAGGAATCAACAAATTTGTTATTTATCACACAGGGAAATCCGAGATTCACCGCGGCCGTGGGCGCTCTCCTGCCCATCGAGCCGCGGATATCGATGACAGATGTCATCTCGAGTGCGCTTCTTCTCCTGCACACCACATGATTGTCCCCGCACTGAGAAGTTTTATTTGTGCTCTGCGCGAAGACCAATCAAACGTCCCGGATAATCTTGGCGGTCCTCGACGTCTAGCATTTCTGTTCAAGCTTTATGTATATCTACATCGCCCGGAGCCATGACATCTGTTTCCATACCGCCTACCAACCGGCAACCGCAATGCCTCTCTTCGAGTTCAGTCCACGCCATCTCGGCACGTTCCATCTCTCCTCCCCATGTCCTCTCGATGCTCAGAAAAAATTGTACTTTGAATTCGCAATATCATTCGGGTTCCCTGGTCGCATTGCTCTTGCTTCTCCCCTATCCACATGTATTGAAGTGTATCTGCCCACCGTCTCCGTGTTTTCGTTATACCACCGGCCATATTTTACCAGAGTAAGATGGATATGCCGGAAGTCATTTATCTAGATGAATCTGAAAACTGAACTCACCGGGCCAAGCCGCCAAAGGAAACACGTGTAGGACGTTGGTTTCCGGGAACAGAGAATAAATGGAGAAGGAAGAAATGGAAAATGGAGGTTGAACGGAAACGAACTACTTCAACTCCGAAGAGGCCATCAATCCACACAAATATCCCAGCTCATCAATGGTACCTGTACGCTTCAGTCCCCGAGTTACCAGACATTCGGTACCACCGAGGGCATCTGAGGCAAGCACATTTTACTTGTTCGAGCTTAGAGATCTGATCTCGAACTGTAGGCCTGAATTCCCCATTTTATCCGAGTTTTCATGATTTTTTTACAGGACAGTTCACTTCCTCGTTGTTTTCGTGCGTGGTCACTGCGGCCGACGCCCCGAACTGCGGAAATCAACAAAAGCAGCCTCACTACTCAAGTCATCGATAGTTATGGCTTTCGATGCGCGCCCCCCTTGATTCTTCCCCGTCTGTAAATCACATCATTTTTCCTGACAATTTTATCTGCTACCTCCGTCTTCGCATCTTGTACTCCCTCTGTTGTTCGACAGTCCTATACACGTTTGTACCCTACTCGTTGTGTTTTCAGGGCCGTTTCTGGGTTCTCCGTCGGAAATTCATCTACCTTCTTGAACCCTCGTTCCTCTCATAATTCTTCCTGTCTGTCAATTCAACTGCTTTCGACAGGTGATTGGTCTCGTGTACCGCTTCTCATGAGTCATGACATCCCGTTCCGGGAACCCTGTTGAGGTCACGCTTCGGTTTAATTTAACTTGCTCCGAGCGAAGCGGCACTGGCACGCGGCAGACTTGGAATACTTAGGGATGTATGAGGTTTTATCCACCTCCTCTAGCCTGGCACGGCGCATGGTTCAATATAAAGGACCAGATATGAGACTGGTTGTGAGTCAACTTCGTAGAGATCATGATAAATTCGAACTGACTTGTGCTTCGATTTTGTGCTCGGCGAGGACAGCCGGTGATTCCTTCATAGAACATACAATGGACCATGCGCGCCGGGTCTAGATCTATCCAACTGCCAACGTCATGTTCGAATTGTCCACCTACGCGTATTCTGTTTTTTACCCCCATTATTCACGAATACCAATTGAAGAGCCCCCAAATATATGCCACCGATTCCCCAAAGTGCATTAGTACGCACTTATGGTTTTCTTTCGAAGGAATACTCCCGATAATCATTGTCCAATACTTTTATCACCGCGCCGATTTCGGCCACGTCAGTAGGTGTTGCTTCCTTGTCCCTGCATGTTCACGATGCAGTCTCGACCGAAACCTGGTCGTGCCGAACGGCACATTAGGGCCGTGGACCGGCCAATTTTACTTCGTTTTGCCGTGAATGCTGGGAGAAGAATATCCTAATAGGGACGCTTCAGCGCTTGGCAAACATATAAAACACAGGGTTGGATGCAGTTGAAAATTGTGCCCCCTCTCCGACGGACTCGCAGGCATACTCCTTCCTCGACTACACAATGCGTTTCAGCACTCTTTTCACCGCTCTCGCCGTCGTTGCCACTGGCGTGACGGCTACCGACTCCTCGTCTTCATCCACGAGTGTGATAGGTCTCACTGCGGCGAACGACTACGGGGCTCCCATCCCCCCCTGGGAGACCGGCTCCTCTCCTGGATGGTATTATGGTCAGGGCACCCCGCCCTCCGGCCTTGAGTCCCTTGCGGACACGGTGAAATGAGATCAACTCCATGCGAAATATGTTACTAAGACGATCTTCCAGTTGATCTGCGAGCTTTTGGAGCTGCTCTTCCCCCTCTGCTTGCAATGCCCGAAGCCCCCTCCCAAACCCCCCTCGACCCCGGAGTACACCCTGACGT